GCGTTGGCTTCGCGTGAAGTGTTTTTTTTTATCGTATTAAATCATAGACTGAGTCGAGATCCCGTGCACGTAACTAATTCTCCCAATGATTTGTCGGATTTCTATCACCTGTCGAAATGCAAACGTAGTCAGTACAAACTATTTCCGCGATCCGGTACCACCAGCCCAGATCTTTATTTGAAATAAAAATGTGATGACACAGAAGAACAAAACAACAATTTTGAAGGACATTGGGGAACGCATCAGTATAATTAACACTTCTTCATCCATCAAGCAGACTGCTAAGGCGACTGCTAACGGGTTTCTTCGTTGTTTATACCCGCACTTGCTGGCGTTCGCGCAGGGCGTTTAAACATCGCGGACGCGCGTGCACCATTTCTTTATTCTGATTGGCTATCTTTCAGCCAATGAAGTTTAAGCCACACCATACAATACTCCGCCTACAAACTGCCTTCTGTTTTGAATACATAGCACTCTTCGTACTAGACACAGATAGCGAATGTGCCGACAGATAGTACTTATCAACTCAGTTGAGTAATTGGAGTATCAGGAGAGATTTTCATCAAGACATGCGGTTGAAATCAGGCAAAGACAGCGACACTGCCCGACAAAGTCATTCAAGACGACAGATGTAAACAATCCTTTAATAAAGTGAAAATTTACAGTATATTTAGTGTTGGAAATAGTAACGAAGAAATCACACGTATTACTTTGGAGGAGCGTCACCACCGCCGAAAGTTGCAGACCATCCATTGAGAGGCCAACTGATAAACCGTTTCGAGGCCAAATATGTCTTAATTTTAGGCAGTGCCTAGAAAGTAGAATAAGGATAATGATCGCAATATCACAAAAAATGGAAACAATGTAAGATTAAAAGACATACCTCAAAGCGTTCGACGTACTGCTTGAGATTAGGGTGCTTCTTAAAGGTGGACGGCTCGAAAATTTGGAAAACGCAGAGGTTCTCGTAGAGTAGAAAGTCCACGTACGTGATCTGCAGAAAAGAGAATCACATTTGTCAGGTCCAATTGTAGAAGAAAACGAAAAAAAAACTGCAGGATAAAATCATTCAGGAAATACAACAACAAGAGGGAACTTACGCTGTGACCCATTAGCCACTTCTTATTGCCGAGATAATTTGCAATATCTTCGATGCCCTTTTCATATTTGGGCATAAACTCTGGTCGTTCTTTTTCCTAGAGCAATCTAGTGTAAAAGACTCAGGAAACATACATAGTTCGGGCTGTAAGCAATGCAGCCAAAAGTAGTTCGCAAGTCTTTGATCGCGGCCTCAGCCATGGCGATTTTAGCCTGCTCCTTTGCGCCCTTGCCTCCAAGACCATGTTTCTCGCCCAGGTAACGCAGAATTACACTTTACTGCGCGAGCTTTACATTTCCGTCGATGATATATGGAAGCTGAAGTGGTATGCCCATCAGAAATTCAATTTACGTTAGGAAAGCCAATGCCAAGATTGTATTTCAATTTTTTCCATTCTTCCATATCACCTTTTTGGAATCTCTTTTCTTGATAATCTTCTCCAACATACTCAAGCAGGAGACGGATTGGCTGTCCCAACTGCGAAAAAGAAAGAAAATAAAGCGTAGGCAGGTTAAAAGCTGCCAAAATGCAATATGATAGTAAAAGCGGTAAATGACGCGACAGTTTTGCACAAAAGAAGGCAAAAAGTAAACCCAAACGCACCCCACGAAGAGCCCAGTAGCCAAATTGAAGCGGAGCCATGATCCACAGAGGCCGTCGAAATTGCGTGCTTTATAGTAGTAGTAGTAACTACTGCGGTCCAATACGGTCCTCGCACGTATCGTTCTTGTTTTTCGCTACGTAATTTGAAGTTTAATCAGGCCATGATTAAATTTCACCGGAAATTGGCACCGATACATTCTGTAATGAGAACGGATTAACCACATGGGGGAGGGGGGTGGCGGTTTCTGAGTACCCACTAACTGCACGCTTCAAAGTATAGAGAGTTCAGTTTTCGGCTAACCGCACAGACCTAGGTAGCATGTACCAGTTAAGCTGTCTTCGCTGTTCCAAAGCTGGCTAGCACTCTGGGGGCGACGTCTGATTGGTTGGCCAACCGCGCGCGTCAATCTTTGTGTCTTTGTCTCTCTTCGCTACAGTTCTGCCTAGCCCCTCGATCCAGGGTGAGTGCTAATTGGTCGAA